TTGTGAGCTGCGGTAAGACTATAGCTTCTGCTTTAATTCTCTTATCCGCTTGGGGGGAAATTAGGGTAATAGGGCTGATTTTATTAGAGTTTTTAACTACTCTTCCGCCCATTCCTGTAATTTCAAAGTTGGCTTGTTTTGTTGACAGTTGTAGCCTATTTTGTGCCCTAGACGCTATGAAAGATCGTTGTGATCCTTGGTCCATTAGGGCTCTAAGTTTGTAGAGTTCTCCTCGATGTTCGATGGAGATGACTGCTGTGGGTAGTAATACCCTATTTTGTACTTCGCTGTGTAGCGTTTGAGTGTTTTGTGCCTTTGAGCAACTTGGTGTCTTTTGGCAATTTTCGGGATTTCTGTGGTTCTTTTTGTATAAGCGCTTCTTTGGGGTGATATGGGAAATTTGCTGTAATGAAGCATTGAGTGGTGTCTTTTGTGACAATATAAGCAATTGAATTTGCTTTTGCAATTTTTATATGTATGCGCATGTGACAAGCAATTTGTACATAATTTTTTTGATCTCACGAAATGGTTTCTTTCTACAATTTTTAATTTTTTGAATTTCTCGCAAGATTGTAGTTTATGCCCTCTCGTGCATAGTTCGCATGACGTATGATTGTTCTGTTCGGATGTAAACGATTGAGATTTGTAGAAGCTTCTGTTTAATTTATTTTTGCTACTAGCTTGGGGTCTATTGAAGCTTCTTTTTAGGTCGTGTTGTACAATTTTTGTTTTAATTAGCTTTTTGTCTACCCTTTCAGCGATTTCGTACTGGGTAGTTAGAAAGTCTTTAATTTATTGCATCGTGGGGCATTTCTTTCGTGATGAGAGCGATTGCACCCATAAAAGTAACGATTTTTCTGGAAATGCGGCAGTGCATATGTTTACCAGTATAGGGTCCCAGCTGTCTGTGGGAATATTTTGTGTCGATAAAACCGACAAACAGTTTGAAACAGTGGATTGTAGTCTTATCACTGGTTTCTTTTTGAATCTTAGGGAAGTTTATTAGTGTCGTTACTTGGTTATCGACCAATATTCTTTCATTTTCATATCTGGATTTTAGAGCTTCCCAAGCCAAATTAAAATTGTCGTCATTTAGTGCGAACTGTTTTACTATTGCGCCTGCTTGACCTTTAGTTTTGTATCGGAGATGATACAATTTTTGCGCTTTTGATAATTTTGGAAGGTTGATATATACGGCAGTGAACATGTCCCGGAAGGACGGCTATTCTTCATAACCTCCATAAAATATTTCTGTGTCACATGCGGTCATCTCGAGATGGATGCCTGAACTTGCCTCTTGACTTTGAATTTGTGGCTCAACTCTCGGATGTGGAGTAGGTGCAATCGCTTTTATTAGCTTAAATTGATCAGAAATTATAGCTTTTGTTTCTTCGTACTGGTCTAAGCAGTTTTCGTATAGCGCGTAAGCCGATGATTTAAAATCTTGTGGTAGATCTGAATTGTCATAATCTACTAGGGCGTCATGAGCCGTTTATAGACGAGTCCAAAAATTGTCAAAATTTTGTTTTTTTATTTCCAATAACGATTCAGAGATGTCTTGAATCGGTGAAGATGAAAATCGAGTGCAGTATCGTGTTAATCTGTCACTCTCAGAAATGAATTTGGCAACCTGTTTTGAGCGTGTAGCTCCTACAGGTGTAGTTTGACCTTTGTCGCCATTAACCATTTTTGTTATGTTATTTATATAATGTTTCAATGAATTATTAATATATAACCTTTTATTTATTTTTTCAGTGTAAACTGAATTTACTTGCGATATTATTTTGTTGTGGTTTTATTTTGAATATTGCTTTATTTAATTTAATTGATAAAAATCGCACTTTTAATTCAATAATATTTTTTATGTCCTTATGTTGATGTATTTAGGTACACCCTAATACACGGACTTGTTAATATATATTTATGTGCTCGTGAAATTGAGAGCTCGTTGAAGAGATCAATACACTTTGTTCATAAGTATGCACGGATTGTTTGTGCGTATGTATTTATATTTTCTAATGCAATTGAGAGCATCGTATGCAATTAGGTATTTTAGTTTTCGCGCTCGATTTGTGTTGTATTATTTTGTTGAACCACTTTTTTTGTTTGTGTTTTGACGCACTTTATTTAAGATCGTTTGTTAATATGTTTTTTTTTTTATTTTACTGCACTTGTTAGGCCTTTGTGTTAGGCTATTGGTGAACTCTTTTTTGTTTTGAAGTTGGCTATTTTAAAATATGTATATATGTAGCTATGCATGTACATATGTATTGTGTGTACATATATGTATATTATATATTTTTGGGTCAGTGAACTTTATAACACCGCAAGTAAATGTATCGAGTAAGTGTATAATTGTTCAAAGTAGCGCATCGGTGTCGTATTAAATTGACCGAAGCGCGCGGGATTGTTGTCGTGACGTTTATATCCAAAAATGAAGTTGATGAAGGCGAAGGTTACTCTTACGGTGGAACGATGTCTATCGGAATCGTTGATATGTTGAATAAGGTTGCGGAACGAGTCTGGTTTTGCGAAAAATATCATGTGGCGCTCAGCAACGTGGATCGCTGTATTAGCGGTCTAATAAGCGAAAGTGAGGTGTTGACGCGGCGCAGTGTACGAAACGAGTCGGATGGGAAGAGTTGCGCGCAGGATCGCTATTCCGTCGAAAGAGGTGAAAAAGCTGCGCTGATCATCCCTTTTGTTAGCTAGTGATGTACACGCGCGGTGTTGTGGTGTGTTGTACTGTCCTATGTGGTGTCATCTGGTGTGGTGTATTGGTGAGTATGTGGTGGGCATTATTAGGGTGCGCCAGTTTTTTCCGAGTAGAGTGGTGTACTTGGAGGAGGGAGTTTAAACTCATTTAAACAAGTTGAAAATGTCAAATTTTGTACCAGAAAGTGTTGATTTGCGGAAAGCATTCATTTTTTGTTTCCATTTGAATAAAACTGCAGAGTCGTATCGATTGCTGTCGAGACATATGGTGATCATGCTCTATCAGAAGCAACATGCAAGATATGGTTTCAACGGTTAAAAGATAAAGGTTTTGGATGTGAGAAATGAAGAACGTGGAAGATCACGAAAAAAGTTTGAAGACGCCGTACTGCAAGCAATATTGGATGAAGAAGATACTTTGAGTCAAACGCAAATGGCAGCCATGTAAAATGTTGCACAACAGACAACCGTTTGAAAGCTATGGGAAAAATCCAAAAGTGTGGAAAGTGGGTGCCTCGAGAATTGAAAGAAAGACAATAGAAAACCGAAAAACACACAACAATTGATCAATTTGAAGCATGCATTGATCAAAAAATGTCCAGAATGGGCCAGTAGACACGGCAAAGTAAATTTGTTACACGACAATGCACCTGTACACAAAGCAAAATCGGTATTCTCCAGACTTGGCCCCTTCCAATTACCATTTGTTTTCATCGATAGGACACGCATTGGTTGAGCAGCACTTCGACTCCTAAGCAGAAATCAAAAATTGGGTGTCTGATTGGTTTGGTTCAAAAGACGAACATTTCTATTGGCATGGTATAACAAATTCCCAGAAAGGTGGTAGAAATGTGTAAAAATCAATGGTCAATACTACGAATAATTTTTTTTTTTACTTCACAAAAAAAGCGATCATTCATACAGGTACACCTGTATATTTACGTTTATGTATGTAAAGCAAGTGACTTCATATTGTTCTTGATAAAAAAAAACACAAACGGGTTAATATAAACAAATCCATTAACTGTTTACAATTTTATTTATACATAAGCGTAAGTAAAATACTTATTTCACTTTGTGGAATACACTTTGACCCAATAACAAGATTTATGGTTGGATTTCTAAAATCCAAAACGTAATATAACGGAAATTATATCTAGTGAAAGTTATTCGCTAAAGTAATCAACAAATCTATTTTATATTTAATGGACCAATAACAGACTATCTACCTTCGCTATAAAGGATTAATAAACAAAAAAAACGTTAAATTAGGTTGCACCGAAGCTAGAATACCTAGAAGTTTCCATACAAGAACTTGTTCAGTTTGTGTGATGTGATGTGATGAGTAGCTTCTGGGGAGAAAAGGACCATTTTCAAAATTTCAGTTCGATATCTAAGAACTGAGGGGCTAGTTCGCGTATATACATATAGACAGACGAACATGGCTAAGTCAACCGAGCACGTCACGCTGATCACTTATACATATTATAAGGTTCCTTCCGGGTGTTACAAATTTACCGGCATACTTAATATACCTTGTGCAAGGTATGAAAAATAATTTTCTCTTGGTACATATTGTTCATGCGACTTCTAATCCCGCGACAACTAAGCTCACAACCCACCGTACAACATCATACAACACAACATAACACAATGCAACATCATACACCACCTACAACACACCATATCACCCACCAACACAACCATATACTTGTACAACTAACCAACCACACTATACACCGACACTTCAATCATCATCTTTTCACCACCCAAATAAACAAAAAGGATTGTTCAGACCAGAATGGTTCTCTTTCGTTTCTCGACACCAGTTCGTAAAGGAAAAAACGTAGCAGCGAAGTTTGTCCGGAAGTGCCCCAAAATCAAGTGTATTTAAACTTAAAGAATTCAAAATATTATAATATATAAAAAGCGAAATTTTATATCAAATAAAAATCAAGTGTATTTAACCTTAAAGAATTTAAAATATTATAATATATAAAAGTGAAATTTTATATCAAATCAAAGTCAAGTGTATTTAACATTAAATAATTTAAAATATTATATTATATTTAAGTGAAATTGTATTTCGGAAAGAATAAAAGCAAAGTGAGTAACTACATATGTTTTCAGAACATCAGATTTTCAATTGTAAATTAAAATGGTTGGATGCAGCTTATTTTACTGGAGTGGCCCAAAATGGGACGATATTTGTCTCAAGTATTCAAATATATGTATATATATCCCCAAAATTTTTGTGGCGTTATCAAAATATTTTTAATACTTACTTTGTATTACCCGCAATTGCGATTCCCAGGGATAACCTTCGTTTCATACCACCGGATAGACAGTTTCCGTACTCGTTTTCTTTATCTTGTAACTTGAGCTTAATTAATAATTCATCTGTAATTGTGGCGGCATCATGCTTTGACATTCCTCTAATCTAAATATTTAATTAAAAATTATGGTATTATTAAATAAATCTATTACTTTAATAATTTCATATCATATAGGTTTTTAAAATAAATTCGCTTTATAAATGAAAGAAAATTTGAAAAGGGAAAAAGATACATACCTGAGCAAAAAAATTCCAATGTTCAGCGCAAGTCATATAAGGCATAAAAACACTCTGCTGTGGGCAATATCCAATTAAATGACGATATGAGCCAACCTCATGCTCTCCACAAACCGTTATTTTACCCGAATCTGGAAGTTCGGAACCTAAGATTTTAACAATAAATAGAAGAAATAATTTTAACTTTAATTGTTGTGAAATATACGGGAGCCATTGTTATTAATTGAGGATTATATAAATGAGGGCAAATTAATTTACATAATTTATCGACGGTAGTTTAATTTTAATTTACAAAATGGTTTACAATGAGCTCAACCGCTAGCATATATTAATGGTCTAAATTCAACAGTTCCATTAACGAAAATGCAGTGATTCGGCAGAAATCGCCTAGTCTTCGATTATATTTCTATCATTTGAAAATTTCGCACAAAACCTATCGAACAGTTTGAGGCAGGTGACCTTTTATAAGTAGTATTAATATTACTTATATTTCATTTTTGAGTTAGCTCAGTTAACTAACTTCAAGTATGCAATATTAGAATCAATCAATTAATAATATAAATAAATAAAATCTTACCCATAATCATATTTAACGTCGTGGTTTTACCTACTCCGTTATGTCCAAGGAGTACAGTAATTTGCTTATTCTTAATTGCCATATTAAGACCATCGGAAATGATACGCTTAGGTTTTTTAAAGGATTTCTGAAGGTCTTGAATGATAATGGCATCGGTTCCAATTTTGCTAGTTGTATACTCAGTGCTTGGTTTATTTCTCCTCCATAATGACTATTAATTCAAAATATTCAATAAATTTTAAAGTTCGAGTAAAATGAAAAATATTTTTCACCATGATGGGAAGGAGGTACGGTCTTTGTAAACTTCCTGGGCCAGGAAATATATATGCCAAGTAATTATATAGCATTGCATATATTAAGCACTGGGCTACCAAAATGCTATAAACGGATATGACTGTAAATGAAGATTCTGTAATATTTATATTAAGTACATTGCGGCCAACTTCGCGATCTAAGGTGGTAAATAATTATATTATTAGATTACATGTTTTTGGCTATTATAAAAATTTACATTTATTGGTAAAGATTTGAAAATTTTTAATTCCCTCCATGAATGTTTTCGTGCTAAATATGTTTGCTAATGTTGAGACTTCTCCTTTTGAGAAATATAGAATATATGGAGTAACCAACGTTAAAAGTCCACCAACTTTGGCATGAAATACTGAAAATATTTTATTTTGAAATTTTTTGTATTCATTAAAAACTATTGACTTACCTGAGTGAAAAAATACTGATATGAGGTACGTGTAAGACATAGCAGAAAATATGTAGAGCACAAATAGTACAATTATGTATCCGACAGGCACAATTTCTCCAAAGGCCTGATATATCCCACCAGCAATTAGCACCACCACGGTAAATACTGCATACATTAATAATCTGATGAGGAAGAAGCTAACACCATTCAAAAAATTCATGGGAGTTGCAATTGCTAAAAATTCCTGAAATAAAGTATTAATTTATAATCATTAATAAAATACTAATTATTTATTTGAGTTTACTACCTTGATACCATTTTGTTTTTCTTCGACTAGAGGTACAAGAAACGTGCTAAGTAGTAAAACATTAAATAGAACTGAATATAAGGAACCAAACCAAATAATACGCTGTGAATCGATTGTTTCTTGCGCAATTGTAGGCACTGAAGCAATTTCAAAATCGAAGTTAATTGCTTTGGGACTGTCTTGAAGTGTTATAAACATTCTATCAATTGTGTGTTGTAAGGTCATAAAACCAGATCGTATGTAGTCATCATCATCTACAAAGATTATAACCGATTTCATTTTTAATATTGCTTGTTTTTTATATTGTCGAAAGGAAATAGGCTGCACCCAAGCTATTATACCCTTTACAGGTGCATTTTTTAATAAAATAAGAGAATATAAAAAGATCTTTATCTTGATTTTGATTGATCAGTTTGTATGCCAACTACATCCTGTGTGGTTTGATGCGAAATTTCTTGAAGATACCTTAACAAATTTAAAAGTTATCGATACAAACTTAATAAACCCTGTTCAGGGTGTAAATATAGTAAAACCAGTCCTTAAAATTTTCAAAAGAAATCAGAATTAAATCTAGTAAAGTCACTAAAAAGTAGAACTTTGAGGAAGTTACGTAGTTTCATACATATGAATTAATGAACTCGGAACATAACTACCTTTTATTCCAGCTACCTCTTCGTCATTAACATAAAGTTTCTTAGGTGATATTCTTATACTTGTTGAACTTATCGAATACTTCAATTTCTCGCGTGATGGATCAGTCGGATAGTTTAAGAAGTTCACGGCATAACAGTTCCCTTTACAGCTGCGTTCCATTTCAAGAATCATCTCAGTTGAGTTACCAAAGAACCGGAGGCCTATATATCAAAATAAAAAGTAAAAATCTTACAAATTTATGTTAATATCAAAAAGTAAAAATCGTGTGTAGCCGAATATGAAGAGTGTCTTTTCAAAAGGGTATATCTACATCTTAAATTATTTTTCATGAAACGAGAAAACGTTATAAGGGAAATATTTAGAGACCTACTGAAAAGTAGTATTTCTGTTTAAAAACTATGTCATTACAATGTTCTTAAAATATCTCGTTTTGAAACGAACACTAAAATTTAAAGCTTTTTTAACAAAACGAGTAAGAAAAGGCTAAGTTCGGATGTAGCCAAACATTTTATACTCTCGCAATTCGCAAGAATCAAAGGCCAGGAAATTCCCTCAGGTGTAGCAAAACCATATATAAAATATATATAAAGAATTAAACATCCATTATTAAATGGAGTCGTGATTAAATTACAATCAAATTTGATATTTTCTTAAATATATTGTATTAAAGGCCATAAACTTAGTCTCAGTTTTATTGCTATATTTTAGTTCGCGTCCGTGAAAATTATGACAATTCCTGAGATATGTATGAATGTGATATTAACTCTACCAAAGTGGCTAAATTTTATATTATAAGCTTATGTGGAAAACGACATCCAGAGAATCGGAATTCATTATATGAAGGTGTGAGGTTTGGACCAAGGTATATACAATATACCTATATATATATATATATTGGGAATAGTGAAAGATATTAATTTTGACATTGCTCAGCCAAACTCGAGAACATTACGAAACCAGTAAGGAAGATCTAAGTTCGGGTGTAACCGAACTTTATACTCTCGCAACTTGCAAGGTTTTACCCCGATACAATCATTTTAGCTTGATTTGCATAGTGGAAAGTGAAAGAATCAGATGGAATTTCAAATGGCGTGGTTGTAAGCCGATTTCGATATGAGAAGAATGTTATGTACTGAATTTGGTTGAAGATATGGGCTTTCAACTAAAACTGAGCGGTGCCACGCCCACTGTCTAATTTTGAATGCGGTTCCTATAAAGTCATCTCATACCATCCCAGAGATAAAATTTAATGTCTCTGGCGTGTTTAGTGCTAGATATATTGCGCTTTTAGTAGTTTTTAACAGTACCGTTATACGGGGAGTGGGCGGGGTTGTCACCCGATTTCACCCATTTTCACTGTCGATAGAAGTCTTAAAAACATTTGTTCTCAGTTAATTTTGTTATTATAGCTTTAGCGGTTTAAGAGACATGCATATTAAACCTAATAAAGGGCGGGACCCCGCACACTTTTTAAAAGAATTTTAAACTGCAGATGCCCCTCCCTAAAGTGATCCTGTATACCAAGCAACAGTCTTGTATCTTATTGTGGAACTTAGTTATGGCAATTTACTTGTTTTTGATTAATGGCATTTTGTGAGCGGACCACTGTCGATTACGCTTATCTGTCATACCAATCGTATTACGGTACCAAGAAACATGCGTACCAAGTTTCATAAAGATATCTCAATTTTTACTCCAGTTACAGCTTGCACAGACGGACAGACAGACACCCGGATTAAAACTGGTCTTCTCATCCTAATCATTTATATATATGTATATAACCCTATATCTAACTCGATTAGTTTTAGGCGATCCAAACAACCGTTAGGTGAACAAAACTATTATACTCTGTAGCAACGTGTTGCGAGAGCATAAAAATTTTACATACAAAGACATGTATTTCGTCGATTCCTAAAAATTCTTGGGGGACAACGACGTGTGCAAAATTTTAGATCGATATTTCAAAAACTAAGGGACTAGTTCTCGTATATGATACGACGGATATGGCTAAATCGACTAAGCTCGTCATGCTGATCATTTATCTAAATTTTACGGACTCTTCTGGGTGTTACAAACTTCGTGGCTAACTTAATAAACACTGTTCAAGGTATAAAGAAAACGGATTTCAAACTTATTTGGTAATTTGATTTAATTTCAATTTTCAATGACTTTTGTATTGTTATTTACTTACTTTATAAATTTATATATATTTGTAAGCAATATACGAACCAGTGTGTGGATACTGTAGTTCTTGACGTACTCTTTCCATCAATATATCAGTTCGCAAATTATTTGGAGCGTAAAAAATTCGATCAACGTCATTAGAAGGGAATTCCGTCTTAATAAAGTACTACAAAATTAATACTTTCATAATGGAAATTTAATCAATATTAAAAAATTATGACATATTACAAATAATCTCCCTTCATAAGTCGTTTGAGGCGTAGTCAGAAGTCTGTTTGTTGAAAAGAGGTAAACAATGAAAATGCCTGAACAGCCGACGAATATTAGCAATAAAGATATCCAAGAGTATCGAATTTGTCGCCAATTCTTCCACAAAAATATTCGCAAAAGTCTTACGCTTTCCTTCATTTTTAAACTATAAATCTAACAAATAGCTATTCATCTATCCATATAAACTTAGGAAGTATCAAAAGAATATATAATACTGCGTTCACATGGGGACTCTTTTGTCGCTCATTATCGCCAATATTTTTTTAGTGTCGCTTTGTGCGTTCACACAAGCAAAAAGCGTCCAGCAACTCAAATAGAGTTTCTCTGTCATTCCTCTTCATAAAATTCTAACAAATGTTTGTGCGGTTCGGCTACGCGATACTTAGAGGGTGTTTCATATTAAATTTATATGTTGGGATGATGGTTGTTGTTGTTGTTGTAGCGACAGAATTCTGCCGAGTTGACAGTCCTTGGCCGGAATAAATCCGGGTCCGTTCCGGTTACGTAGACCCGACTGTCGTGGGAACGGTTGGGATGATGGTCTCACATTTTGCTTGCAAGGAATTACCATGAATGTGGTAGAACAATATACATAATACCCGCTTAATAGTTTCAAGGAAATACTTAAGTCGGAAATTCCCTAATCCACCAGAATGTATTGAATATCCGCAAAATTTGTAACAGGAATTTCGTAATCTTTCGGGAAGTAAATCCTTTGTGATTAATAGAAACATATATGAAAGCATCTTAAATTTTTTTGTAAATGTAAATAAGCAAAGATAGAATTAATTTATGCATACTCGTTGACATTTAATACCACAATATGTTATTAAAAATTTAAATATAATATTTTTAAGTATCTTAATTTTCTCCTTATTCACAATTTTTCAAAATATTTCTATTATTCTATGCATACATATTTGCATAATACATACAAAAAATAGATAACAGAATTCAAATTTCTGAACGTATGGTATATTCATTTGAAACCGAACGCTTTTGCAATTATTGTATAAAAAGAATTTGAAAATGAAAAGAATGCTGAAAAGGGTAGCAGCGAAGTGCAACGAACAAGAACACAAAGCGTGCCACCCGAGTAAGACATTTCTTCCTGCAAGCTACCTATCGGCTAAACTACCGGTTAAATACCCAATAGCAAAGATTTGTGTTAAGGTTTCTGATAGAATACACGATTACGCTAACCGCCATTTTGTGGTGTAATTCTTTTGAGTTGAGCAGAAGAAGCATAGAACAGCATGTAAACTGTAAACTAAAATGTAAACACTTTTGTTAATTCGTGAAATTGACTTAATTTATTAGTTAACAGTGAACAAGTTTTGCTAAATGTATAGTTTAGGTCCCCCAATAAAGGAGGCAGCGAATATTATAATTTATTTTAATCGTCTTATTTTGACGCGAAGATTACAAATCCGTGATCGGAAAGAGAATTTTCTCAATAATTTATGTATACTTTTATATAAAAATATATTACTTTGCACATAATTTTCAAGTAACTTAGTTGTTGTTTTTGTTGCTGTAGCGGCAGAATTCTGTACAATTCAGATCACTTAGCCCGTTTAACGAGTTTGACATTTTCTTGTGAAACAAAAAATTACTGAAGAAATGTAATGATGATGATGAAATGATGGTATGGATGAATAGATGAGACCGTCGAACTCCTTTTTGCACTGGAGGCCTTCATGCGCGTTTCAAAAAAATAACTCTGGGCGGTCCAACACCGGGGTTCAGGAAGGAGTTACCACGCGAAAGAACATGTGCGAAGTGCGTAATTTTTTGAATTTTCTTTAAATATTCAGCAGTAGTTTATTTAATTATGCACAAATACCCTACGACGGGTAAAAGTTATCTAACTGTTTACCGATAGGTTATCAGTAATTTATGCTTTAGTTATCATATAGGTTACTTTTGTTCTAGCCTCGGAAAAAAAAACAATTTCTCCTCGTTCACTATACGTCGGTGTGAATATTTTACTCGCTCTCTCTTATTGTAAATTTATGCAAGTGCTACATATATTTTACACCTCTACTTTGCCAACTATTTTGGAAAACTATCTGTTACTCTTTGGTTAACAGCGTCCTTTTCATTGAACATTTGTTTGGTTAGCCACCTGTTACTGAAAAGAGTTTGTTTGGTTATTGCTATGGTTACCTATAAGTTACAGAAAACTGGTTCATAGGTTACTTGTTTGGTTAGCCATTGTTTACAGAAAACTGGTTGATCGGATACCTCGTCAGTTGCTATGGATTATTTGTTTGGTTATTCATTGGTTACCACTGACTAACGTATCGGTTAACTTTTTCCTTATAAATAAAGCAATTGAAATTCTCATTAAACTGTTTTTTTTAATTTCCATGTTTATAGATTATTCTTTCTATTTTTACACACTGTTACATTAATTTACTAATTGTTAATATTCGCACATTAGGTACATAGTTTTACTCTAATTAAATCTAATATTTTAAATTATTTATTTAGTACTTAGTACTAATAAGTAAGTTAAATTTTATAATTTAACAACTAAAATTGTGACTTTAAAGTCAAGCTTGAGAACTTTCCATCGAAATTTGCAATAACGGAACTAGTCGTTTGTTGACACTCTCTGTTAACAATATACGAGCCAGCTGACCATATTCGGTACGGATATCCACATCGACTAAATGCTGTCTTAACATATTAGTCAACGGTATGACAAGGCTTTTTGTAACGTATTTCTCCCCGCTTACGTTTTCTGTGGCTTTCTTGAATGGCTTCAGTAATTCAATTACTTCCCAGATTACTTTTAGCTCGTGATGACTTATCATCTCGGGAACACTGTGGCGACTGTTGTTTCTCTTCAACAAAATAAGCTCAATTATTGCTGCCAACTCTTTTAAGGCTTCTTTAATGTCAAGACATGAGTTCCAACGCATATCTAAGTATATCCTGTACGACCGTTTTTACAAAGCCTTCTGGCTCCCCGGCCTCTATTTGCATAGCTCACAATTCGTTCATTGCATTTACACAATGCTTACAATATCGAAAAATTTCTTTGATTCGAGTCAAAAGGGGTCAATATGCCTTTACTTCTCTGCAGCATACTGTGGACAACATAGTTAATGGCAGAGATAAAGAGATGCCCAACTCGTCTCTCACTGGAAATGAGAGCGCAATTGATAAACGTCAAAACCTACTGAACTCAAGCAACTGTCAAAGTTCAGTAGGTCTGACGTTTAGCAATTGGAAAAAAAGGGACGGCCAGATTAAAATCCTACAGAAAAATATGTAAACAGAGAGATTTGTGCTGCTGTTGAAGATCACTAACAAAAATCTTTTATGATGTCATGCTAAGTGGTATTGATTTTCAATTGAAAATTTTTAAAAACATTTATTAATTGAGAGCTAATACATTTGTTCTTTTGATTACGTATTGAAAGTTCAAAAATCAACTGTTTAATATATCACAAAATCACAAAAAAAGAGTATAAAAAGTTTCTGCATATGTTTAACGGATACATGTATAATTACATTTAATCTTTATAAATGATGGGTATTTTAATTTAAATTCCCAAAAATTATTATTTTGTCCGATCTGGCTACAATGGATAATGTTATAAAAAACTCTAATTTTGAGGCGCTCTCACACTGGAAAGAATTGGGCATCCCATTATCCCTGCTATGCACGATGGACGACATGATCCGAAACTCTTTGAATCGAGAGAGCGCTGTAAAAGTCCACATTTTTTATAACATTTGACAATGGTGCCACTGCGGAAAGAAATACGTTTTGAGATTTTTTAATGTATTTCTTGAGTATTTTTCGGTTTCCATTTTACAGAAAAATATACATAAATAAAATTAGTTTAACAAGCTAGATACAGAGAACGTATATCATAGAGAAGGTTCATGGTGTGCCGATTGTCAAAATGTTCCTCTTGACGGAGGGTTACTCGCCAACATTAGTGCATTTCACCACAAACAAATTATAAGCTGATTTCACCAGAATTTTACCCCTGCGGAGCGCAAAATAGCAGAATTGAGCATTTTGAATGTTAAATGAGAAAAATAATGCTAAATTCAATGTTAAGAAATGTACGCTTACAGATTCGTATATTTACAATGCGCAAACGGCTTTGCATATAATTTTAAGATATTCTGCATATACAGGGCGGCTTACGAATCGTGCTACAAAAATTAACCGTAATAAGTTTCTTTTTATCAATCTTTTTTGTATTGTATAAAAAATTTTTTATTTTATTTTATACAATTAATTATTCCTCCATGCTCAGCCATGCCTATGCGACACCTAATTAGAAAATTAATGCGGGCTGGAGGGTTCAAGTCGGAATTGCCTCAAATATCTATTTAATGGACTGCTTCAGTTCAGTCAGATTTCTGGGTTTGATTTTGTACTCCTCTTGCTTGACATAACCCCATAAGAAAATACCAAGCGAAACAAATATGAAAGTACCCATTATAATTGTTAATTTGTCTATATGCAACGAATGTATGTAAATATGTACACTCATTGTTTCATGGGAAATCAGAACCATACACACTCTTACAAACATACATCGCATATGGCAAGTGCAAAATCAACCCTTATTCATATACAACGTGGCATGCGTAAATGGAAACAAAGTCAACAAGTCATGTGCATATATACGGGCAGATGTGTGTACAAAAAATTCGAATATTTACATACGCACATTCTTTGACAAATACAGTCAATCCCGGTTAAGTGCCAAAACCAAAGATGCAGATTTTTTCTGCTTTGTGGTACATAAGCGATTGTGGTACTTAAGGAGTGGTACCAAAAAATAATTTCTATGTATTAAAAAAATTACCGTTTTCCTTAAAAAATTAAGAAAAAAAAAACGTGAGATGCAGCAAGACACAGGCAGATAAGAAGGATTGGAGGAGTGATACTTAACCGGGGCTTACTGTATACATAAATCAGAGGAATATTGAATATTTTCTTTAAAAAGTTTCTTGCATTGTAAACCGACAAATATACTATGTTGTCACTTTTATTCTAAAATATTTTAATACTCATATTTGAGGGGTTGTCACTTTTCCCTTCTAGAGGGAATATCAGAAATTTGTTCAATTTATGATTTTTAGCTTTTGCCATCGTCGTGAAAAGACGCTTGTAGGCAAAAGCATGCTCGGGGGGATGCATTGTATAAATCTACAAGTAACAAATCCTAAGATTTTCACTAATACACA